TTGCCGACCTCCCAATTTTCAACAGGAATTACCCTACTACAACTGAGGCCAGAATTTCAGAACAGACCGAAATGCTCGGCAGAGGGACCGACCACAGGAACAGAGAAACACCGAAAGCCTGGCAGCTAGGCACGGCATCTGCCAACCGTTGTGCAACCCTCCTTGATGGACTGGGTCCCGGGGCAGTGCGGAGTTCGACGCAGGGCACTGACACGAGTCCTTCTGACAGTACTGTCACGGAATCTCGTTAAAAATATTATTATTTGCCTTTGACCAGCAGTCAGCTGACGCGACCGTGGATTACGCTATCCCAGTGTCCTTCATTGACGGCAGCTTCCGATTATAAATGTTTGGTCATCGAACCTGCTTAGATCTGGAAGCATTTTTGTTTTAACCGAGGCCGCTGCACATACAGAAAATACTAAGCAGCAGTGTGCTTTTTGTTGAAAACATTGCCCTTATACAGACAATGCGTCGCTGTGGTTAATAATCATTCCTGTAAGTAAGTAAAATTTTGACCTACAACTGGACACTCTATATCTATTATTCAAAATTCAGGTGGATTAGTTCAGCTGCCTTGGAAAAGTGTTTTATATGGAACATTGCCTATAGGTAAACATTCTCAAAGTGAATCAGTACGTGCGCCCAGGAAAGAAACAAAAAATCGCTATTAATTTAGCTTCGACACAAAGACCTTGTGCTGAGGAAACCCTTGAACTCTATATAATATATCTACTTAATAAAAAATTCACTATTTGTTTTTGTAATTCTTGACTTTGTGCGAAGAAACCTGCAGCCGAAAACATGCCATCAACTGAATTTCATCTTTAGCAAGGGACTCTTTAGCGAACTAAGTGTCTTTTAGAGATGGCAAGTGTATATGTAAAATAACAATATTGACCTCCATTAGTAGGCTTGCAATCTTCTCTGGACCGGACGAAACCGATGTTTTGATGGCCTTTTCATCCTTGCCAGCCGTCTGGGACCGAGGCTGGATCCAGGGTTTTTGCATGCTGAATACGGACGAGTCCTTGACAGCACCGGACGACTGCTTGCTACCGTGGGCCACACGTAGGGTTGCAGCGGACGCATGGTGCCCAAGCTGAATGGTGCGCAACTTACAAGTTCCGAAGAGAATCGGCGAAGCAAGCATGCCCTGAGCCCTGGTACCCTCGTAGAAGACTAGTTGTAGTAACTGGTCGTCCATTCCGAGCCAGAGGACGGTGCTGATAAAGTGTACGACGGCTTTAGAAGATTTTGTGGTGGCCACTTGGTACCCAGTTATGGAAGTCCAAGACCTTTCCGAGATCATGGCGACTGCATGTCCGAAGATGGGGAAAACTGGTATGTGACGACGAAGGTAAATAGCTTCTGTTCGTCCCATGGATAGCTCCTCTTCCGTCAAATTACCAGAACTGAACTTTTCACACTAGACAGAAACACACAAGTGAGAGGGAATAAAATCGTTAACATGAGCGAAAACCCTGTAAAAGGACGTGAAGACGGGCTAAGCAGAGAGTTTGGGGAAGTAAGGTGCCAATCAGTCTGACCTGCCAACCAGAAATTAGGATGTGAGAACAGAAATACAAAGAAACGAACTATCACTTGCCACTGTGCGGCCGCTGGCGAGGCTCAGGAGTGAGCCTCAAGTGGCAACGGGGTGAAGGAGCTCCTTAAGCGATCGGTAGTCGCCTACCCACAATTACTTTAACATATATACAATGATATTTGAAGTCGAAGCCGTTCTTTGGGAAATAGGGTTTATTACGTGAATTTTCCAGACTGGAGCCCCAGTTCGTCTTCAGACGCAGAGTAAAGTGAAAGTACCGAAGACAGCTGAACCGAGAGTGTATGGGAAAATCGATAATGGCGTGACGTGGCTCTTGCGCCAGTTGGCAGTTGCCATGCTTCTCATCCCGTTCGCATTGGCTCGCGTTGCGCCCATTCCTCCTTGGGA